GCTGCATAGAGGGGAAGTATCACCTCCTTGGATCTATTTGTCTAAAGTGCAGTTAGCTTTGCTGATGATTTCATCACACAGATGACTCATGTTCATCTTGGAGTCCACTATGACTCCGAGATCCCTTTCTGTTTCAGTGCTTCTGAGATGGTCACTTCCCAGCCAGTAGGTGTGCTGGATATTTTTTGCACCCTAGGTGCAGCACTCTGCATTTGTCTTTGTTGTACTGTATCCTATGGTTTACTGCCCACTTTTCTAACCTGTCCAGGTCTGCCTGCAGTCATTACCTACCCTCCAGAGTGTGCACTTCACCCCACAATTTAGTACTGTCCACAAACTTGGACAGAGTACACTTCATACCCACATCCAAGTCACTGATGAAGATATTGAAGAGTACAGGTCCAAGATAAACCTAATTGGATGTATTTTAGACATAACTGATTTTGGTCAAACCAGTTTATGGAACTTCTGTTTCAGATTCCTTCCTTGTTCAAGTTAACTCATAGTCCCCTGTGTCCCAGGATGTTTTGCAGCCCTGGGCTATGCTGCCTGCTTCAGTGGAACAAGGACTGCCTCACTCCTCTGCTCTCTAGCCTGCCTCCTGCATGCATCTAATAGTCCATAGGGATGAGGAGAAGAAGGAGCAGGAGAACAGACCCCCAGACCTCTCTAGCCAGGATCTGCACAGCATGTGGGGGAAGGGAAAGCCCCTGGGGGCTTTTCGAACCCACTCCTCCCCACTCCTCCTTCCCAGCTGCTAATTGCTTCAGCCGCTGCCACAGGAGGAAGGGAGAAGGAGTCCTCTGGGCTGGGTGTCTGCCCAGGAGCCCAGCATGCCCGGGGCAGCCCCAGGGAGCTGAGGGGAATTCTCCCCACCCCCCCCAAACCCCAGAGCTGCTTGCCCTAGTCCCTGTGAGTCTTAGGCAGCCTTAGGGAGCATAGAGAAATTCTGCTCCTCTGAAGCTGGTTTTGCCTCTGCTGCTGCAAGTCTGTGGCAAAACTAGTTGCAGGGGAGCGGAGGAATTTCCCTCCATTCTCTGAGGCCACCTGGTGGTATCCCTGAGACTCACAACAGCTAAGGCAAGCAGCTCTGCAGTTCAGGAGGGGAAGAATTCCCCTCAGCTCCCTAGAGCTGCACAGGGTTGGGGGACCCTGGGCTGGGGTGGGGGGAAACCCCAAGACAGGGGCTCCCCGGTGCCCCCATGCTGGGCTGCCTAGGCAGGCACCCAGTCTCCCTCCTATGGCAGTGGCTGAAGCAATCAGCAGGTGGGAAGGTGGGCATGGTGAGGAGTGGAATTCCCCTCAGACCCCAGGGCTGCTTGGGCTGGGGAATCCACGCTGGGGGAAACCTCCCGAGGTGGGCCAGCACCCAGACAGGGGGCTCCTTAACCCCCTGTGGGGGGACATCAGGAGGTTGGGGACACATACTTGTGAGACAATTGGAGGACACTTGACTAGGCTTGCAATGGCCAGCAGGCCGGGAAATGTGGTGTGGTGCCCCACACCTACTGGCCTGAGTGAGTGCAGGCCTCCCTGTCCCTTTCCCAATTGAAAACTGAATGTCAGCTCAGTTGGTTATTGGTTCAACCTGTGCAACTTAGAGGAGGCTGCCTAGATTGAATCGATTCTCCCTAAGGCTTTTTGACTGTCTGTACTTAATCGTAGTGTTAGAGTGGTATTATAGTTGTGATGGTCCAGGAAATCTGCAGTACAAGGATTTTTTAGGATGATATCTTTTATTGGACCAACTGCAGAGTGAGATGGAGTTAGATAAGCTTTAGGTGAAGACATTCTTACATACAAAAGACACCTATCTCAGTTACGCAGCTGGTCCAAGAAAAAATATCACCCTAAGAAATCCTTGCCTCTTGTATATCAGTTTAGGGATTTCAGCCCCTTTTCTGAACTGTGTATATTTTTCCTCACCGCCTCTACCTTGTGGATTCAATACTACAGACAGGCTCAGAAGAAAAAAATCATAGCTAGCTCTCGTTTCACACAGTTTTTTTTTCAGCTTCCTACAAAGATTGGTACAGCTCCAACTTTAAAATTCAGGTCTGGATTAGGTTTCAGAACCCTGCCAAAATTTAAGGTGGTCTGATCCAAGCTTTTACTTCAATTCTATCTCTGCTCTGTACTGTATTTTATCAGAGCCAGATGGAGAGGTTTACTCTTAGACCTTCCCTGAAAGGTTTCTCCCGCTTCAGGCAGTGGATTTTTTTTTTAATTAGAAGGCATCATGTGAAAAAACATGCGAAAAATCTGCAAGTTAGAGGCATGGGTCTGTTATTAAATTTTGCTGTTCAAAGAATTCTAAAGACTCCTGCAGCTTTCCCCAATTTTACTTAAGTGTATTTTTAAAATACTTTTGTACCTTTCTGCAAAGGCTGAGGACTGATAAGCAAAACCACATCCCAAGCTTAGGGCTAGAGTATGATTGATTCCCATCTGGTGCATGGAACCATCTCACTGCCACATGTCCCATGAACATAGGCCAGTAATGGTTGCTACAGTCTGTCTGCCAAGTGTATTCTAATTGTGCCAAATGTGATGCTAGCTACCCCAGATGGGCAGAGAGACGGTAGAGTCCAAGATCTTTCCATAGTAGCTAAAGGAATTGTCTGGCTGTGCACATCCCTTCACAAGGTATAGTCGGAGACAAGTATCCTCCCTTCAACAGAACACCACACAGCAGGGAGGTGTCTCTTCCTATTGTCTCAATTCTGGAACTGTGACTAAAAGCCACAATACAGCTATTGAAAAGCAGCACCAGCCCATTCTCTTAAAATGCTTCCTCTAGTAAAAATAATTCATTGCTTTTTACTTGCACTTTTTACAAGTACAGGCAGTCCTCAGACTTACAACACAATTGGTTCCTGAAAACCATGTCTTAAATTGAAACGTCATAACTTGGAACCAATTTTCCCATAGGAACAATGTTATAAATGGGGGGTGGGGTTCCTTTATGACACTGGATACAGCTGTGTCCAGCTGGTAAGTCTGGTGTGGTGGAAGGGGAGCGGGAAGGGAAGGAGTGTTGGGGTGCAGGTCAGGGCTCCCTGCGGTGAGGGCAGGGCTGGGGCTGGGGCACGTTGGTTGTGTGGTGGATCCTGCCATTTGTCCAGGAGGGCATGGAGGGGGGGCATGTGTCCTCAGATCTGCGCAGGATGGGGCAGGGTGGGCCGGGCATGGCGGGGTGGGTGGAGCCGGGGCTGCACTAGGCTACACTGGGAAAGGGTGCTATGACTTTGCGCTGCTCACCCAGCTAAGGCGGGACAGATGTGAGATGGGGCCGTTGTGCTGCCTCCGGACGAGCGGTGCACAGCAGCAGGAGCTGCTCCCCCCTCCCAGATGAGCCAAAGCTCCATCCCATACCTACCCTGCCCCGGCTGGGCAAGTGGTGGTAGGGCATGCAGGGGTCATGTGTCCCAGAATTAGGGTGGGTGGCGGGGCGGAGCAGGGTGGGCAGCAGAGCAGAGGCTATGGGGGGGCCATAGCCCCCCCATACGCCCTGCCATCTGCCCAGAGCACATCCCGGTGCAGCCCCGGCCCCACCCACCCTGCCCCAATCTGAAGGCACATGCCCCCCCATGCCCTCCCAGACGAGTGGCGGAAGCCACCAGAGAACCAACTTGCCCCAGCCCCTCCCTCATCCCGGGGGCCTTGATCTGCCACCCCACACCCCTTCCCATCACACTCCCCTTCCACCACGCCAGACTTACCAGCTGGACGCAGCTGTATCCAGTATCATAAAGTCGAAATCCACATCAGAATGTCAAAACCAGGTGTCAATTTATAAACATCTTAAGTGCCGTTCATTGTAACTCAAGAAGTCATAAGTTGAAGACTGCCTGTAAAAGCTTGCCTGGACCCACATTCTATTATTGCCTCTTTTGAGCAATTGTGTGAAGCATGGAGTTCAGAGATGGACTGGTGTAATATGGTCTGGCTTAGTGAGAGGTCAGTGCACTATCCCATCACCAAACCCAGAGAACCTGGTAGAGGAAAAAAAATGCATAGCCCTCAACCATTTCTGTTGCCTACCTTCTACTTTCCTCCACTGCATGTGTATTTTTTGGCATATAAGGTGCCAACACTAGAGCTGGATGGGAAATGGCTCTCTCATCCAAGGAATATTTTCAAGATTTCAGTTCTTGTTTTCCTGTGCTGAATCAAGACAAAAAGTCAAACCTTTGAAAGTTTACATGGAGTGACAATCTGGGAAAAAATATTTTGGATTAACTAAACATTTTACTAGTGTTGAAACTCGTATAAAACATTTGCATTTTAATTGCATGTCTAAATGAACAGTATTGAACCAGAATTTTTTTTCTCCTTTGAAAAAGCTGATATAAGACCTACGCCAACAATTTTAATTTCCCTGTGGTTTTTTTTCCCTCAAAACAAGACATTTGTTAAAATTAGTCCTTTCTTATTAACCGTTTTAACTTCATCAAATTGGTATTTCATGATGAAAAAAAAATGACTGCAAAATTCCTATCAGCTCTTCTCAAAATAGAGCATTCTCACAATATGTGACAATAGGGTTCTAGAGGGAATGGCAAGGAGCATGCAGAACTGATGAGGTTCCAGCAAGAAAGGCTGGGAGGAAGCCAGGTAGGAAAGCCTGCCAGGTAAGGAGACAGTCAGACAATGTTCTCAGGCAAAACAGTTGACTTGCTGACAAAGCATTTCCCCAGAAATGAAACTTAATCAGTTGCAATGATATTTTGACACCCTATAGATTTAACCTTTAACTTTTTTCCTTTAAATGCCAGTGAATTATTTTTTTCTCTCTTCTGTTTTTTATGGTTAAAAGACTAATAAGCTGTTTTCTGTCTTGCTGATCTAGGTGTTGTATTTCCTTACTTTCCATGGCTGGGTCGCTACAATTTAAACTTCCATGAAGCTCAGCAAGCTTGTCTGGACCAAGATTCTGTTATTGCCTCCTTTGACCAGTTGTATGAAGCATGGAGATCAGGGTTGGACTGGTGTAATGCAGGCTGGCTTAGTGATGGATCAGTGCAATATCCCATCACCAAACCCAGAGAACCTTGTGGAGGAAAAAACACAGTACCTGGAGTCAGGAATTATGGGTTCTGGGATAAAGATAAAAGCAGATACGATGTCTTCTGTTTTACATCAAACTTCAATGGTAAGCATTTTGAATTAATTTTACTTTTATATGGGCTATTTCATTGCTTCAGAAAAGAAAATAATTCCAACGGTACTAAAAAGTAGAAGAGCTATTTGATTTGTCAAAGTGCATGTTAGTTCTGGAAAGTGTCATTGTTGAATTTATGAGCAGACAAGTCTAAAGTAAAAATATTTTGCCTTTTTTTCATGAAGATCATTTTTAAAAGCAACAGTTTAAAATTAATATTGGAAACAGTCTTCTACGTGTGTCTTTGTGACACTGAAAATGTGTATATAGAGATATTCATTATTGATACATTGCTAAAAACTGATGAGTAGATATTCATCATCTTTATATAGCACTTCAGTGCCACTTTTTACTGTCTGCTAAAGAGCATGGGTAAATAAACAAATTATATTGAAGTGAAACAGAGTAGGATTTATCCCACATCTTTTGCTCTGTGGCAGCTTTTTCATTTTGTTCACTCCTATCCCAAGGGGAGTGGAAGCTAAAATGTGCTAAATTAGCCCTGATTCATTCTGGAGTAAGTCTTCCACTTGCTATAAGATAAGAATGGACACACAAAACAGTTACTGTGGAACAGGTGTGCAGTGAGTGCTCATTTTTTCATTTTGTTCCTTTGCTCATACTTAAGTATCAAGCAGGTTCATTTTGTATGGCAAGAACAGTCTAATTAATGGCACCTATACCAGTCATACTACTTCAGACTTTGCGACAAATCACCTAGGCTCTTACTGCCGAGCTGTAGTACACAGCCATTGGTCCCCACCTGCTAAGTGTTTTCAATGATTGGCTCTGATCTAGAAGTGAATAGGTGCAGTTTAAAATTTAGTCTGCTGATTTTATAGTTTCTCAAAAAAATGAAGACCACTGCTAAACAAAATAACAAGGATCAGGACTATAAAACACCATACATAGTCATTTATTACAGTTCTCTCCTCAGCAGCTTTACAAAGAGTTTTCTGTGACCTGAGTTTAGAGCTTCATGTTTGAGAATAATTTTATGCATCTTGGAAAGCATTTGTTTGGCATACAGCCCACCAACATGGATACAGAATGTACTTTTTGCTTATGCACATATTGCAAATCTACAATGAAGTGTGTTTGTCCTAGACTAGACTAAAATAAACAAAACTTTTTCCTTTACACAGAGAGACTCCAATTCTACATGTGCTCCACCCAAAAAAAGTCAAAAGCACGATTGGATGTAGATTGAAACACAACAGAAATGTTTATCTGATTTTATCATGCTACATCATTCCAGTCCAAACTAGTGGCTTGTTTTTGTTTTCTTCCTTCCCTTAAATTACGTAAAAGCAAATCTTGCAAGATTTGATCCGTTTTATGAATGTTTTTACCTTAAAGATTTTTATTTAAAAAATAATAAAACCAAGGGCAAAAATGCATTAGAAGAGCAAATGGTTGGGACCAAGTAGGTTACTATTGCAGAAAAGAAAAGACTAGTAAGCAGCCAGTCACCAAAACAAGCAGTGTGCAGGTAAACCATTATAACTTGGCAATATCTCATCTTTTTTCTTTTACTTTAAAAGAAGAGAGACTAAATCCCAGTGGAAAAGGAAAAGATGTTTTGTTCATGATGGAGCTGGGGCAGAGTGTGGCTTGAGTGCAAGATAGGGAGGGACCCAAAGGGAAGAAAGCACTTAGGCTAGGGACAGACATTACACATAAACCGGTTTAAGTGATCAGAAACTAGTTTAGACCTGTAACAGAACAGATGTTCAGTACACATAAACCAGTTTGAAAATAGCTGAAACCAGTGTGACATAAACCTGGTTAAATGTAGTATCAGGCATAACTGATTTGGCTCAAACTGGTTTATGCAATGTCTGTCCCAGACCCCTTGCTGGTTTAAGATAAACCAGACACCCCTAGCATCCCAGCATGCTCTCTGGGCTGGGCAGGGCTCTCTGCTGCACAGCATGGGCTAGTCCCTCCCCTCTGCTCCCTGGCTACAGCTCAAGCACAGACTGCAGTATGCTCCCCCCACCCCGCTACTACTCCCTACTAAGCAGGAATTCCCCCTTGCCCTGTGCCTTGCTGAGGAGGTGTCTGTTTATTAGCTAGCAGACCACATGCTGGCTACATGCTAGCAGACCACATGCTAGCAGACCACATGCTGGCTACATGCTAGCAGACCACAACATTCAGGAGTGAGAGAGGCAGAGGGGCAGGTGAGCCTGGGATCATGGGGTCAGATTGCAGGGAGGTGACAGCCCTGGGCCTGCTCCCTACATGCAGTGATGTACCTATACTCCTGGCAGTGGCCCTGGGTGAACTTTTAGTATAGGGCCACCCTTTACCAGAGATAATGATAATAATAATTGGACAATAGAACAAAGATTACCATTTTGGGCCCCTTTTCTGTCTGATCCCCAGGTGGCGGCCTGGTTTGCCCATGCCTGTGTCCAGCCCTGTATAAATGCTCCTGCCTCCTGGGGGGGAGGGAGGAGTGTGGAGGCCATGTACATGTATGTGTGTGTGGAGGGGGTGCTGCCTAGATGCTAGGCCCTGGGAGCCTGCCATGAGTGAGGGGAGGGGCAGGAGGGCATGTGCAGCAGAGCCCACCTAGGCAGTGTGGTTCACGCTGCTCCTGCAGCACTCCATGTGGGCCGAGCCCCACCTGCTCACACTGGGGCAGCCTGCACCATGCTCCCAACAGTGCCTGCAGCCCGGCTGGGTGCTGCTCTGCTACCCCCACCTCCAGTTGTGGCTCCTGCTTCTAATTTTGTTCCTTCTGCACCATGCCATGCTGGGCGAACAGGTGGGTTGGTAGATTCAGTCAGTATGCCCCAGCACTCAGGGCTCCCACTCCAGAAGGTGTCTGGGACCTAAAACTGGAGCTTCATTTTCTGGGGCAGGAGCAGGAGCAACTTCCAACAGGCTGTTCCTAACACAGCTGCCGCTTGCCGTGTGCTGCTCTGCACCCCCTGGCTCTAGCAGCAGCGCCTCCTCCCGCTCCTGCCGCACCACACTGTGCCACTCCCAGCAGGTGTGCGGGGCTTCAGCATCAGGGCCTGGCTGCCTTTGTGCAAGTCCTTCAAACACTGAGCCATTGACACATGAGGTCTGGGATTCCATTTCTCTTGCACAGTCAACCGCTTATGCTCATACTGTCTGTTTCCCATCATTGTCTCTTCTAGCCCCACTCAGTACCCTCCATATCCCATTCACCTCTTCATTTCTATGATAGTGCTGGTAACTGCATCTGCACAGTTTCCTAGCCCAGACCCCCCGATAGGCCCGTACCCACCTATTTTCCTTGCAGAAGTAAACTAGGTTATGACAAATAAGGCAAATAACAGGGTGATCCAGATTCACAGTTATGCCATATGGTAGGCAGCAGGGTATTATTCCAATGGTATAAAGCCACCATACATTCATAAACATTTCTCCCAGCTCTGGAATAGGGACATGGCCAAGGAAAATGGGATGTGGCTGGGACACTACTGCTGGAATGGCTGTTGGAATCTGTTGACAGCTGGTGTAAAATAAAGCAGCTTTCAACTTTATGTAAGGAAGTAAGCCAGCTGCCAAGGTTCATAGGCTCAAGGGGGTGTAAAGATACCTTAAAAACAGCTCAAAAAGTGTTCTCTGTGAGAGCTATTAGAAGGTGTGAGGGTGCAAAATTCAAGCGTGTAAAAAACCCAGGGCAGGGAGAAGGGTAGATGAAGAGTCCTAAAACCCACTATATTCAAGTAAATTTTCCCAAGGGTCTCATTTTTTAACTGTTTCATCTGTTAAAAAATAAAATGTTTGAAAGAATTATATGAAAGTTTCAGTTTGGTCCTGAAAAATCAGGGTGCAAAATAGGGACATTAAAGATTATCAAAACATGAAAAGGAAATAGCTTTTTCTGCTTTAAATGCAAATCTAAATGTAGTAACTTCAGAATGGCTAGAATTTCCTTGGAGACTAGATTAATCAAATACATAATTTTTAATTGTATAGACATAGACACACACTTAGTGGAACATTTAAAATTGCAGCCTTATAGCACATATCCCTATCAACTATTTAGGAGAAATCCTTCCTTCACTTCAATAACACAACTCCAACACTACTATAAAGTAGTGGTTCTGTGTAATTTTACCTGTTGTGATCTCTTTCCTCTGACCTTTATAGATATGTTATTAAATATTGTTCAGTTCATGCACTCTTATTTCACTCCCAAAATGCATTGTCTTGCTTTATATAAATAGAAGCTTGTCATTTGTTATTTACAACCAGGGCAACATTTTCCATTATGCGAGTGGAAGTAATATTTGATCATGATTTGTAAGACATTAGTGAAACATTTCATAAACCTAAACAATAAACTGACATTAGATCATGTTTAAGATAGATAACTACTATTTCAAAATAAATACCAAATTAAAGTATTTTGCTTAATTTAATTCCTCTCTTTACATTCATTGCAGATGTTAATTAGTTTCTATGACCCACATATCTGAGCTTCTAAGAGATAACTCCATCTCACTCTGTTTCTAAAACTATACACACATATGTATGTGCATGTGTGTGTGCATGTGTATGATATACACACATAAATATTTGTCTCTATAGATACAGGTGTAGTAGCTAGTAATGTGATTTTCATTCTTGGAGGCTGACAATTAATTTCTTTCTAATAATGACAGTTAGGAATAAAGGCAACAGAGACAGCACTGAAGTTACGTTTGCAGTCTTGGCATTTCCTGATGACTGAGTACTTATCCATGTAATCTTCATATTGGATATATGCCCTACATTTTTCATTATTTAGATAATGATAAGTACAGATCTATGCACTGTATTCTTCCTTGGGTGTCGGTCTTACTAGCTTGGCAAAAAATATGGGAAAAATACATTTCATATGTATTTTTCACAGGCCAAATCCAAACCTTTTATAGAGTTCTGCTTCAAATTTCTGTTTCCTGTCACTGAACGCTACTGGAAATAGGAATTAGAATAAAAACCATCATGTAACCTCAGCTTTA